TTTAAAATCTGTTAAACTTTCAAGTGATTAAATACCTTTCAATTAACTCTAATTAACTACACTAATTAATTATTTTTATTGGTCTAAAAAATTCATTTTCTAATTCACATGGTCCTACATATATCCGAACCAAAATGTTTGACGTTATCCGCGCTTAGTTATTTTTATTTGTAAATCGCTATTGTATAATTATTTTTATTATGACAATGCACAGTTTGTTAGTTCTTGTTTATCTTATTTATTCTTAAGTAGGGTTGCCGTTTTCGAGTCGGGCCGACGGTCGAGGCATTTTTTTTCGGGCTTGTTTTTATCGAGTCGGGCCGGTACGAGTCTTTTTCGGGCCTTACTTTATCGAGTCGGGCCGATACGAGTCTTTTTCGGGCCTAACTTTATCGAGTCGGGCCGGAACGAGTCACTTTCGGGCCTGACTTTATCGAGTCGGGCATCGAGACATTTTCGAGTCTTTTTTTAAAAGATTTATTTAAAAATAATTAGTGGATTTGGAGGGATATCTGTGAATTATAAGGTATATCGATGGATCTGGAGGGTAAAGGAAGGGCTGAAGAGAATTGAAATGGATATCAGTGGATTTGAGGGATTAAGGTGATTTAAATTATCGGAGGATTGGTGTGAGATATTGCTAGATTTGGTTTTATTAAAGGAGATCAGATGATTAAGGGGATCAGGATCGCATATCAGATAATTAAGGTGCTATATTGTAATGGGATTTAAAAGGATTGAAGAGATTTGAATGGATATCGGAGATTTGAAGGATAACACAAGATTTAAGTGATATTGTGCGTTAATCACCAAATCCCTTAATAAAATCCCAGTGTACCATGATTGAACTATTCGTATTTAAATAAGGGCTTACTGGAAAGTCAGGAAACCAGATTTCTTCTATTTTTAGCGCCGCAGGCGAAAATTTTGAGAATTTTGACCCCCTGGAAAATTGTGGACTCTCAAAACTGATTGAGTTTAAAAAGTTCAAATGATGATGGGATCCCGCGGAATATATCCTATAAATCCCAGTAATCCAGCTTATCGATTAAAGCCAGTAAGTTCGAGATGTGAAGCAAAGTATGGAGCTAAAAATTCTTCATTTCAGCGCCGCAGGCAAAAATTTTGAGATATTCGGAAGGCTAAGGACCAAATTTCTGTCTTTTTCTGCGCCGCAGGCGAAAATTTTTCGAATTTTGGAAGGCCAAGGAGCCAGATTTCTCCCATTTTTGTCCACAAATCTGGTAAAAATATTATCGAGTCTTGTTCGAGTCGGGCCGACTTTTTCCGAGACAATTTTTTTCGGGCCTCTTTTTATCGAGTCGGGCCGGTACGAGTCACTTTCGGGCCTAACTTTATCGAGTCGGGCCGTTACGAGTCTTTTTCGGGCCCAACTTTATCGAGTCGGGCAGGTACGAGACTTTTTCGGGCCAAACATCGAGGCATGACTCGATCTTTCGGTCCGAGTCGGTCCATTTTGGCAACCCTATTCTTAAGTAATTACTAAAAATTGGGGCTATGTAGATGATTTTATAATTATTCAACCAAAAATTTTTTTTACTTTTTTTTTCAAAATAAGTAATTATTTAAAGTAATAATTTTTATTATAAGCATTTACATTATTTTTTTTATCTTTAAATACATTAAATTAGTTGTCTGTTTATTTTTACATTAATTTTGTCTTAATTTATCATTTATTAAAAACAAAGAAAAATAAAATGAGCCAAAAAATGTACTAAAAATTTTTCCAAAATAATAAAAAAAAAATCCAATTTTCTCCTATTTAAATTAAAAATAAATTTGGCATCAATAAATTAATTTATTTTTAATTTTCAAAAAATTTTGCGTCATTCCGACAATTTATTTTATTTTTATTTTATTAATGTTCCACATTTACGTACATTTCCCCCTTCCCCCTTTTAAAATATATCCTTCAATAAATGCTTATATTTTTAGTATTTTGTTGGAACGAGTTTTTGGACTTGCAAAATTTTACAATAGAATATGGGCATTTAAAGGGGAAGAGAGAGAAAAAAGATCAAGTTTTTTGATTGCAAAATTGTGCAATATGTATGTAGCAAAATTATTACAAATTATTAAAGTTTAAAAATTATTAGGCTATAAAACAAATCATAACGTCCTTTTTTTTATAACTTTAAAATATTTTTCTCATCTTTATTTTTTTGATTCACAATTTTCTTTTCATTGCCAAGAAGACGTGTCCAAATCCAATCATATTATAAAACTATTTAATGTAAAGTCTCGAACTCTTGATTATGATACCCGAGAACAAATAAAATTTGAGTAAGATTTCATCCTTTCTCGTTTTTTTTTGTCCGTATATTCTCTCCTTTTTAGTTTTTTTTTTAGAATTTTGTAGACACAAAATTACTCCTTAGATCGTTTAAAATTTTTAAAAATATTTATTTATTTAAAATTAGCTCGATTAATTTTTTTTCGGTTTTCGACGTCGATTTTTAAATGAAAATATAAACTAGGTTCTAGCCGAAATCAAAATGAAATTCCCGATTTTCGGGAATTGGGAATCGGGTCGATAGATCCCTGACATAAACCGACACATTTCTGAATCTTTTCAAACATTTTTCAATTTTTAATTCAAAATTTAACATTTCTTATAATTTTTTGTATTTTAATAAAAAATTAATTATTAATTATTATTTGTTTTTTATTTAGCTGCTTTCTCTTTTTTCTAATTTATACTTTACTCTCTTCTTTTTTTTTATTAAATAACAAAAACAAAAGAAATTATTAAGGAAAATCAAGTTATTAAAGAACTCATCTCCTTTCTCGCCTTAGGGCTCGTAAATCTTTGCGAGTTTATTTTTTGGTGTTTTCTATGCGGGATAAACAACAACGATGCGCGATTTTATGCTAAACAAATGTAAATAAGCATTTTAGCTTTAATTTATATCGAGAGGATGATTAGAGTCGTAAAATGATTAGAGTCTTTCACCTAAGCTTGAATAACTTATAAAGAATTTTTCTCAAAAATCTTCATTTTCGTCAATAAACCTCAAAGCCTCCAAACCTTTTTTTGCGGATGTTATTGACTTGCGATTGCGTTTGCGCATTCTAGAATTAAACGTCTTAGTTCACAAGCAGTGTAAAGCATATAGTTATTAATTTCCTAAGGCTGAGCAGTAGGCGGCGTGGTGTAATGGCTAACACATCAGTCCGGTCTACTGAAGATGCTGGTTCGCTCCCAGCCGCCGAATAACCTTTTGCACTAGCTAAAGGAGAGAAATAGCTATAGCCCAGCTGCTTTACTGCAGTTCACCTGCTTAAGTAGGGTTACTTTGACCATATTGAGCTTTTGAATAAATGGGGTGGGTATCTAAAGTGTATAAGATCCCACCCTTAATTTGAAAAATTTTTTCGTTAAGCCATTTTTAACTTTCTAAAAATTTAAACTTCGTAGATTAATCTATTTAATTTATTCTTGATTAATTACTTGTACAACTTCTTCAATCTATATATATAAATTAAAAACACGTTTTTCTTTTGTTTTTTAATTATTTTCTATTAAAATACTAATCTAATAAAAAAATTTTTTTTTATTTTTTCGAGAATTATTTTTAAATAATTATTTAATTAATTTTTTGGAAAAATTATTTTTTAAAAATTTAATTTTCAAAATTTACTAAATATTTGTACCTATATTAAATTAGCTTTGGAATCGCTTTATTTTAATGAACCTTTCACCCTTTTGGAAAGTTTTAATTATTATAGTTATAGTTTATTTAACGAATCACTTAAAATAAGGAACCTTTTCCTCATTCTCCTTTGAATTCGTTATATCAAAACGCGACTCCATTTATATTAGGGTCTGAATCCAGATCAGGACCGAGTTTTCCGTACCCGAAACTTAGAAGCCGGATATTTGTTAAAATCCGAGGTTTCTTGAAACCTCGGCCCAGGTCAGTTTAAAACAAAAAAAACTAGAATGCCCGACACCTTTTCGAACTCTATTTTTCTATTAACTTATTCTAAAAGTATTATTTGAATTTTTTGAATAAATTACACGCCTTTTAAAATTTTCAGAAACACTTAACCTTTAGTTTAATTTTATTTTTAAATCAACGAATTTTTTGAAAAAAATTTCTTCCAAATTTTAAATATTTATTTATTTATTATTTTATATACGTAATACATAATCTTGTTTTACAATAAATTTATTAAAATAAGAAAAATTTTTTTGCATAAATTTCAAATAAAAATAGAAAGGAAATTAATAATTTCCTTTGCAAATATTTTTTTCTTTCACTTTTATAATTAATTTACTTTCAAATTATTTTTTTATTATTTTTAATTATTTTTGGAATTTCTAAAAAAATTTTTAGAAAAAAAATATTTTATTACCCTAATAAAAAATAATAAATTTAAAAAAGATTGATGGGAGGGTTTTCAAAATTAGTACGTACATCAATTGAACAGCCTTTATTTATTTTAATTATTTTATTATTTGGAATATGGGCAATTGAAATATTTAGGTAATTTTCAATTAAATCTTGAATGCATCTATAAAATAATTTTTTATTTTAAAATTTTTACTTCTGCGTGTAGACACGAATAAGCTCTCACTCTTTTATAAACCTTAATTTTTTCGTGGGAGAAGTAAGATAATTTAGCTTTAAATCAGATGTACAGTAAAATTAGAAACCTTCGATCCCTTAACTACGATAGCTTAAAACTTTTTGTTAGACAAGACCTATAGGATTAATCATAAAAATTGCAAAATACCTTGATTTCGGGAAGATATCCCTAAATTCTCTTACTTGATTCCGTCCTAAGCCAACCTTTTTTTAAGGTTTTTCAAAATATCTTATTGAGGTTTCACAAAATATTTTTAAATATTTTTATCTTATTTTTATCAATTTTATCAAAAGTAAATTTTTTTCTAAAAAAGGACAATAAATCGGACAACCTGGCTACTTCTCTTAACAACGGGAATTATTTTTCTGTTACTAAAATTTAGAGATATGAAGGAAAAAATAAATATTCTTGGGGATTTTGTACACCGTTCTTGGCTAACTTTGGATAGAGACTTGACGTAATTTTATTAAAAAATATTTTTTAATTAATTAAATTAGCGGTCTTCGCCTTCTGGTTAAATTACGTTGGGATATGAGACGTCGAATGCGTGAAAATCGGGGGCTTCATAAAATTTTTTTGGATGTTGTTCGTGCTAATCCAAATAAAATTTGTATTGTAGATATTGTTAGTTTTTTTTTAATTAATTTTTAAGTGGGTTAATAATAAATAATCTAAATTAAATTTTTATCTAATCGGACTGAACATACATATTCTTTAGAATTTTGTTAGGAATCTTCAAGGAATTTCTTCTAAGAAATTACACCCATAAATAGATATTTTCCTTTTCAATTTCCTTGCCTATTTTGGGGAATCCCTGATCTAAAAATCATAGCCATAGCTATAAGTAGTCTCTATTCGAGATTTGACTTTTAGCTGAATACACACCAAAAACACATTAAAAATTCTTGAGCAGGATCAAGGTTTTTGAGAAAATCCGAATTTTTATATTATATATCTGTAGGTCGACTGAAATAAAATATATGTAATTAAATTTATTTAAAAATTCTTTAAAGGGCTCAAACCGTTCCTACACTTTCTCTCAATTAAATTCTTTATCTAATCGTTTCGCTAATCATTTCCGAAATAATGGATTTAAACGGGGCGATGTTGTTGCTTTGTTTATGGAGAATGGGGCAGAATTTGTAGCTGCCTGGATTGGGTTAATGAAAATTGGGGTAATTACAGGTAGAAAGATTTCTTGATTTTTGATATTTAATTTTTATAACAATAAAATTTATTCGGGGGAGCTTTTGCATAGATTAGTTCAAAATTGCTCAACTAAGCCTTCTCTTATACCTGCAATTTTCCGTTGAATACATGCTTATAACTTCAAGTAAACTATTGAAAAGCAGCTTATGTAATGTTCATTCCAACTTGGATCAGTATATCATTCTAGATCAGATTAGTATATCACTAATATCATTCATTCACCCGCTCGCTTGCGTGGCCTCTGGGGACTTTATAATTCACAATCACCGTCCTCTTTTAATTAAAGTTCACTAAATTTTGTTAAACTGGCCGAAAATTAAAACAAGTGAAACTAATTTATATTTGAACTTAAATAATTTAATTTAAATATTATTTTTAAGCATGGATTAATTCCAACTTGCGCCTTGACTCTTTAGCCCAGTTCGTTTTATTTAAAAATTTATTCAAATTTTTAAATTTCTAGTTGTTTACGTGTTTCAGAATGCAAGGCAATTATTTGCTCAAATTCACTTTATCAATGTAAACATTTAAAAAAAATATTTTCAAAAATTTCTTTTTAAATTTTAGTTTATCAAAAAACAAAAGATGCGGGTCTATTAAATTTTCAAAATATTCAAGAATTTATAATTGACAATAAGAAAGTGATAAATAATTTTGAAGATGATAAAATGTTATCTTATAATTGGTTAAATAATGCAGAAGCTTCAGAACCAATACATGATGATACAATTAATTTTCATTCCCTCCTTTGTTTTATTTATACAAGTGGAACTACTGGAATGCCTAAACCTGCTTGTATTAAACACTTTCGGTTGGGAAAATTTTTAAGAAAAATTTTTCAATAGTATAATGGAATGTTTAATATACCATCCCACGAGATTGAACCTAGCTAAGATATCAAAAAAGTGATTTGGATGAAGCTACGCTTACTAGGCGGGGTTTAAGGTCTATCAGAATAACCCCTGTAAGTGATGAGAATAACGGTCAACGGATCGCTGCCTACTCAGGGCTGACTTTTATCTCACTAATATCGGAACCTCAGCCACTACCGCGAACCTAATCGGCCGTAGGTCTTGACCCGCGGGGACGTTTTACGTCGAGAATCATGCCACTAAATTCAGCTTTGTAAGCTTTGCTTTCGATTTAAAAAATACTTTACTAAGATAAGATTTTTTAAATAAAATTTAAAGTTGTTATTCAATGGTTGTTGGGTGTGCTTATAGTTTTGGTTTATTACCAACAGATAAAATATATATTTCAATGCCTTTATATCACACTGCTGCTGGTATTCTTGGTATTGGTCAAGTGTTATTTAGAGGGGCTAGTTGTGCTATTAGACAGAGATTCTCTGCTAGCAATTTTTGGAAGGACTGTGTAGATTATGAATGCACTGTAAGCTATTTATTGGAGATTTCAACGCTAACTATTTTCCAATGGTCAGAATTTAAGAGTTCTGGGCGTTTGGGAAGGAGAAGGTTCTAGAAGATATCTTTCTATCTCTCTTAATCTTCAAAACCCTCAAATTTTGAATCCCAAAATTTTACTAATCTCTCAAATCCGCTTAATCCTACCAATCCCTGATAGACTCTTGATCCCCAAATCCTTACATACCTCTTCTTAATACCCCAAATAACCCTTACTTTTCTTTATTGCTCGTATAATCTCTCAGAGTGATCCCACGAATGGATTTTTACGTATACATGAGGGCTAAACTGTTTTGATCCACCAAATGAGGGAACATGCCCTAAATTTTAATAAATTACTTGTTTCATAGTTATAATTTAAATAATCTACTTTATAGTCAAGTCAATATATTGGTGAGATTTGTCGGTATTTATTAGCTCAACCTATTGGTGAGTATGAGAAAAAACATAAAGTTCGAATAATGTTTGGGAATGGATTAAGAGCAGAAATATGGAAAGAATTTGTCGAAAGATTTAATGTTAAAATTGGTGAATTGTATGGGTCTACTGAAGGAACTTCTAATTTAGGTAACTAATATGTTAATCTCATGATAAGCTCATACACAGCTCCATTTAATCTATTTTTAAAGGGATATTTGGGTACTAGATGGGTCTGTTCCTTAAGTTGGTATGTCCTTGAGTTGGTCGTTCCTTGATTTGTCTTTTCCTTGACTTGTCGTTCCTTGACTCGTCTGTTCCGTGATTTGGAATTCGTTTACTTGCCCCTCACCAGATGGGGGAGCTATCTAGGAAGTGCCCCTTAATTTTCCTCGTGATACGATACAATATTTGAGCCACAAGGGTGTGTCTTATAACGCCCCTCTTGTTGCATATTTCACAAATAATTTATATTTAAATAAAAAGTTAATGTTGATGGCAAAATTGGTGCATGTGGATTTTTGCCTATATCTCCAATAACTGCATTAGTTCACCCTGTTCGGCTTGTTAAAGTTGATGATAATGGTGAAATTATAAGAAAACCTAATGGATTAGCTGTTCCGTGCAGACCTGGTAATTAATAAACAATTTTTGTAGGGAAGTGGCAAGAGGGCTAGGATTAAAATAGGAAATTATAGTTAGCTGAACACAATTTACTAAAGACATTATCATCCTTTAATTTTTCTATAATTTTTATATTAAACTTTCAGGGCAAACAGGAGCCATGGTAAAATTTAAAAAATATATATATCGGATCTCGCATTAAAATACTCCTCGATCAGGAAATCTCTGGGTTGGTGAGCTCCCTAATCTTAGCAGCAACGTAAAACTCCCTAAGCCTCTCTAAACCACCCTAATAAAAGCTCCCTAATCTACCTACTCCCTAATAATAAAAGCTCCTCCTCACTATGCTCCCTAACTCCCTAATACCCCAAATTTACGATACACCTCATAGAATATTAATTTTTGGCCTAAGGGTGTATAGTTAAGCGAGGTCCGACTTTTGAATAAACTTATTTTCCTGATTTAAAAAGGTTTCAACAATTCGTCATGATAATCCTTTACTTGTTTTTGATGGATATTTAAATAAAACAGAAACAAGTTTTTTTGATTTTTATAAATTAAAAAAATTATTTTTTAAAGAAAAAAAAGTAATTCAAAATGTTTTTCGTCATGGAGATAGTGCTTTCTTAACTGGAGATATTTTACATTGGGATAGACTTGGATATTTATATTTTAGATTACGCACTGGAGATACTTTTCGGTTTAAAGGAGAGAATGTTAGCACTACAGAAGTGGTAAATAAATTTCAAAATTTTGAAATTTGTCTTTAGAAATAGACTCCGGATCATGAATTTTGCACTCTTGCGGGTCAGAATCAAACCATTTTTCGAAACTGCGGAAATTATGAAATAATCCGAACCTCCCTAATAAAGCTTCCTAATCTCCTTCCTCGCTAATAGGGACAGAACATTAACTTGACCTATTTTTAAAGATCTAAAAAATATTTCGTCCATAAATATATTAATTAGAGATCGGACCGAGATGGAGATAGAGAGACCGATCAAAAAGACTAAAGGGCTTTCTTCGAGACATTATCTCAAATCTTAACCAACTCCTAATTTTTAATACCTATGTCTTATGACAATTTAAACTACTCTTCTCTTAACCTGTTATGATTTCGATGGACTATAGAATCCAAAAAAAAAGTTTTCTTAAGCGAGAATTTTTTCATGAGTCCTATCAGAAGATTTAAAATTTCATTTATTTTTCATAATCAAACTCTTTGAGCAAAATTTTTTCTTTAAATCCTTTAAATCTAATTTTAGGAAGGTGTTCTTCTTCCTTTAAAAAGTATTATCGACGCTGTAGTTTATGGAATAAATATTCCTGGCATTGAAGGTAGTATAGGAATGGCAGCAATTGTAAGAAATAGAATTGAACAAACACCTGATGAGGTTGGATATTTGGGAATTTTTAAAGGATAAAAATTAATTAAAGGAATTTCTTCAACAATTAAGTGCGCGTCTTAGAGCAGCTTTACCTCCATATGCAATTCCTCGATTTATTCGTATTTGTAGTTCTGTTGACAGAACTGGTAAATTTTGATTTTGTATTTTTTATTTGGCTATCGCATTTTAAAAAAATAATAGTGAAAAATAATATGAATTAGGGCTTTTCTTAGAAGGATTAAAAAATTTTATAAATATAGTCTGATCTCGATTGTAGGTACACCATGTATGTACAACATCATATTTTTTAATAAGTTATCTAAGACTTGGTTAGCCATTGGATATGAAAAGTTGTCTAACAATGGGAGGAGCTGCATTTTCGTCTCCAGTACAACCGAGATCCGACACATATAGACTAGTGATGTTCGAGACTCTCGATCGCGGTTCCCGATCGGGAAATCTCTCGGTTTTTTGAGCTCTCGGCTCGGGGTTAATTCCCGGTCTCGGTCTCGACTCTCGGCTTTTTTTTTACTCCCGAACATATGTAACTAATATAGACTAATTAAAACAAGATCCCCTATCTAAGATACCCCTGTTTATAAGCTATGATTTGTGAAACCTTAATGTTTGATTGGCTAAGGTCAAAAAATTCTCCCCTAAAATATATTTTCAATGAAAAAAAGAATATTTTTTTACTAGGTACATTTAAATTAGTCAAAACAAATTTGCAAAGGTTAGCACTAGGCAACCCCCCAAGTATTTCTTTGGATGATCAACAACGGGTGTTCTTTTTTGATACAAAAATAAAGCAATATATGCCCCTTTGTGAGGATTTACGGCAAAGGCTTGAAGAAGGAAAATTAGAACAAACAGATTTAATGAAAATTTTTGCTTAAATTGTCATTTAAAAAATTTTTAATTTGCCAAATTTATTAATTATATAATTTTTTTGCTCAAAAATATATTTTTTAAAAATGATTGTCTTTGTTTTTCTTTGCGAAGAAGCTTAGGGAGATTAAATTTTTTTAGATCTACAGACGTACATTTTTGGATTTTGAAAGCCAATCGGTGTAGACAAACTTTTGCACCTCAGTGTACATTTAAGGTTAATTGAGTCTCTTTAATCTCAAGGAAGGGAACTTTATGAACTTTATAATTTTTTAATTTTTAAATAAAAAAATATTATTTTATTATTTTTATATGAATATTTCTTATAGTATATAGGTATTTCCTTTTAGATATCATATCCTTCCTTTAAGTATTATAAGAAAAAATATATTGCGTAGCAGGTGTTGTCCTCAAACCATCCTCTGTCACGACCATTATTATAAACAAAATAGTCAAGAAAAGGAAGTTCGTATTTCTCACGTTGGTATGATTTTGTTGTTGCAAAGTATGTACAAGCAACTGAACAAAATGTTTTATGACGAACAATTGATGCTGTTTTAGTCAAATATTGGTCGACTAAGAATATGTTGTTTGATTTAAATTGACCAAGTAATTCTTTTAAATCAAGGTAATATTTTTCTCTGAAATGAAAATACATAATTTTAAAATAATGAAAAATTTTCTGACAACGAGATCGAAAACAATTCTTCGAAATTTATCTAAAAATTTTTGCAACCCAAGTATTTTATCACAAAATATAAATTTTGCACTAACTAATAGAGTTGGGCTGTATCGGGATCCCGACCAGACATGCACGATACGTTTCGTTTCGTTGTTTCGTTATGTTTTTTACTGTTTCGTCTCGTTTCGTGACGAAACACTTTTTAATTTGTTTCGTTTCGTTTTGTTAACAAAACACCTGTGTTTCGTTAACGAAGCATTACCAATTTTATAGCCCAAAATATTACCCAAAAACAAAAAAAAAATCCCCTTTGTGATTAAAATTTAAAAAATTTTTGCCTGCGGCGCAGAAATCTGGATTTTAAGCGCCTACGGCGCATAATTTACTATATTTTTTAGAATTTCCCGTTTAATTTTCCATGCCAGATTAGGCAAAGTTCGAATTCCATGCCAGATTAGGCATGTAGAAAGGGTCTACCTCTTGCCAATCAGGGTCGGTTGTAAAAGAATTGAATTTAAAATTTCAATAAATGAGGAACGAAAGATGCCAATGATCATGAATAGGGTTGCCGTTTTCGAGTCGCGCCAGTACGAGTCTTTTTCGGGCCAAATCCGAGTTGGTCCATTTTGCCAACACTAATCATGAACGTTGTTAATCAACAAAAAATCTGACTGAGTAGAGGAATATCAGGGGATTAGGCGGGAGAAATGGTGGTATAGGAAATTAGGAGAGTAAACGGATATCGGTGGATTTGGAGGGTTTAAAATTTAAATCAAAAAAATAGTCGCGATTCAGGAGCAGGTTTCGGGAATAGTAATTTCCGACAAAATTATTCGCTGATTTTAGAAACGGCAGGATCCCTGATTTACACATTTTCCCAACAGATAATTCGATAGTAGTCGATTTGCCGGAATTAAGACTGATATAGTGGATAAAGAGGGAAACACGCGAAAATTTTGGAGCTTGGAACCACAATTTAAGGTCCCACAAAGCTATAAGATTATATATAGGCCATAACTGGCATAATAACGTGCTTAAAATAGAATAATTTAAAAAATAAAACGTTTTTGTTAAATTTTTTTGAAAATTAAAATGTTTCGTTCTGTTTCGTTTCGTTTCGCTAAATTTATAAAGTTTCGTCTCGTTTCGTTAACGAAACAATTTTTTAAAAATTTTGTTTCGTTTCGTCTGAAAAAATTTTTGGAGTTTCGTGCATGTCTGATCCCGACCAGTATTGAACGGTATTATACCGGTTTCACCCCTAAGGATTGATTTCTCATTTGTTTATGGACGAAATTAGATGGCCTTCTAATTAATTAAAAACTGTTTCTTCACCTAATGAAACGAAGCTTAATAAAAAACGAAACGTTTTATGCAGGTCAGGTCCCCATATTGATGGATATCATTCCATTATCGGAGGCTCCCTAGTGCCCCCAAAAAGTCCACCGATATCCCCGCTAATCCCCGAAGTTGATTTGAGGTATAAAGTTGAATTTGTAGTATATCCGTGGATGAAGATGATGTCAGAGGATTAGAGTGAATATCGATAGATTTGGAAGGTTTTCTCTTGGTCTTCTCTTGGTTATTAGGTCGGAATTCCGATACCGCCCAACTCTACTAATTATACGCAGTTTAGGTTATAATATATTTCTATTTTTCGATTTTCAGTGCTGCAAGCTAAATTACAACTAATTAGTACACCTTTAAATAATAAAATTATTGATCCTACTTTAAAACATTCACAATTTTTGGTTTAAGTTCTCCAACTCGTATTTGAAGTGATTTAGCAAGAAAGACATTATCTTTGTTAAATCTTGCTATAACAACATTAACACCACGTTGATTTAATATTATATCACAGTAGTATTCAGGACAAATACTTATTCCATTATATTGTTTTATTGATTCCTCTGATGGGTAAATTAAAATTTGTTTTTCAATTCTAAATTAAATGTTAAAAGTAAAAAAAATCGCAATATTTTATAATTATTTTACTCTAACCCTTCCTAATTATCAAACAAACTCTTCTTAGTTACTTAATCATACTTTTTAATGTATCAAAAACGCAAAAACTATAAGTAAAAAATTGAAAAAA